TTTTTTGAAGCAGGGTTGTATATCTCCTTGTACTTAGCTGGTACTTTATAACTAATTTGTGTGTGTGTGTGTGCGCGTGTGTGTGTGTCCTGGAACTGAACTCAGGACCTTGGGCTTGCGATGTGCTGCCAAGCTATATTCCCAGCCCCCAATTTGTAATTAATAAGTAAATTAATACTGAGAAGTATTGACATTTTTCCCAAATGGCTTTTGAAGAAAAATTCTGTCAGTAGATGAATGATAAAACATTGGTTTTTCTTAAATGGCTTTTTAAAAAATAGTGAGGCTGCCTTGCCTTGGAGGAAAGTACAGAAGAATGAAAATGAACAGGAGAGCTCCATGGGATCTGTGACTTCCCCACTGTGTGAGCAGGCCAGTTCCCTTTCCATTGCTCTACCACACATGAAGAGTGGCTGCGAGTTACATGACACAGATGAAGATGCAGGAAGGTAAAATATCTGAATATTTTCTTTTCCTTTAAGGGAATATTAGCAGGGATTACTATTTCTATAGATAAAGCAGAAGAGTGTTGTCTACAGAGAAATCAAGGAAAGTGTCATCTACAGAGAAAGCAAGAAAACACCCAGCCACATCATTGTGGCTGACAGGTTGGTTAAGATGAGGACAGCTGAACTGGACAAGGAGCAGTTTCAGCAGTGGTCACACAAAAGGCTGAGGGCTGCAGATGAGTGTAGACAACGCCTCAGATAATTGTCACCGGGAAAGCCTAGGGAAGTGGGCATCACTGAAAAGAATGTGATCTTTAAGAGTTTCTTCTTAAAAAAAAAAAAAAAAGAGTTTCGTCTTGAGGCCAGGGAGATAGCTCAGTGGAATAAGCGCTTCCCTGGCGAGCACAAGGGCCTGAGTTCAATCCCTGGTTCCACCAAAAGAAAGTTTCTTCTCTTAAGATTTTAGAGTCTATTTGCATACTACTAGAAATGATCTAATAGAGAAACATATGTTTATTCATTTTAATTTTTTAAATATTTTCAGGATTCAGAAATTATGATTATAACCAAAAATATATGATAATATGGATTAACACATTCACAGAGAGCTGCATACATATGACTGTCGAGTGCTGCCAATGGGACAGTCATGCATGTGCCACCAGTGGTTCAAGCTGGTGGGAAATGTCACAACATACGATATACCTCTATGATGTCACAGTTCAGAGCTCCCAGCCTCACTCCTTCACAGATTTTTCCTTAGAACCTAACTAATAGTTTTTCGTGGAATCTCCCACAGTTTCACGGAAACCATAAGTATTTTCCACAACTATTTTTTTGGCAGGAGGTTTGCAAATAGCCGATCCAAGAGTGTTACTCAGTTGTCCTTACTGCTGATGGGTTACAGGGTTGCTGCCCTGTAACCCATCTCTACATTAAAGCCCTAGGGTGCTGTCAAAATGCCCAACACCTTCTATGTCTTTATTATACAGTCTTTTATTATATTACATAATTGTAGGAGACATAGCATATTTAGGGTTTAAACTGTAAAAATGCATTTATGGGCATTTCTTTGACCATATCTGAAATTTGTGGTTTTTCACAATTGCGAGTTCTCTAGGAACATAACCCCTGAGAATTTCAGCAGCTGCTTGTACTGTTAAACATTCCTACGTGTAAATTATTACCACCAGTATGTGGTTGGGCAAGTTACTTGGCCTATCTTCACCTACTTTATTGTTACCTATCTCACAGAATGGTGTTTAACACATGTACAGTGCATAGCATAATGCCTAGAACTTAGGTCCCAAAAAGTTAGCTCCTATCATCACTAAAAAAGGGATCTTGCTTATGGGGACCTAAGTAATATTTTCTAAATGAGTTTTAGTGCCTGTAAAAATTTGGTTTTACTTTTATTAAAAATGATGGTAACAATATAGTATTTTTCTATGTCAAAAACAACATTTTTCTTCTGCTTTAACTGTAAGAAAGGCTTTTTTCCCCCTTTCTTTAAAAAATTTAAAGAAAAAGGGATGGTGGTTTGTTGTTGGTACTGGGGACCAAACTCAGGACCTTGTGCTTACCAGACAGGCACACATGCCACTGAAGTATCTCTTTGGCCCCTGAAAGTTATAAATTTAGTTATCATAATAGTAGTAGTAGTAGTATTCTTTGGCCCTAAAGTGTTATTCTTTGTTTAGAGTTGAATTCTCATTCTAGAAAAATTCTGTATTTTAAATAACCTGTAAACTTTATGAGCAGAAGAAATAAATTACAAATGCTGAAATTTTATGTACAAAACAACAGTTTATGTATTATTTGTGGATTTTTTAGTTTTTTTTTTCTTCAACCAGCAATTTATTATTTATTTAGAGACAAAAGTGAATTTATTGTTTTTTTGTTTTTTAGGTTCACAAGAAAAACATCTAATGAAAAGAAAAAGGTATTGTAAAAAACAATCAAAAGTAGTATGTTATTATAAATATAGCATGAGAGATAAATTGATACATTATAACAAGACACAAAAACAGATTTAAAAAAATTAGAAAAAAGAAAGTGAAAAACTAGAGAATCTTTTGCTATGTAAAGACACTTACTGTAAGAAAGTTATGAAGGGCCAGTCAGATAGCTCAGCAGCATAAGCGCCTGCCTGGCAAGCACAGGGTCCTGAGTTTGATCCATAGTACCCCAAAAAAAGTTATAAATGAACAGTAGCTAATACTTGTGTTTTTGCTTAGGTAAGAAAAGGATATTTACGACTTCTGTATATTTAGTATATGGTATAAATACTCTGAGGGCATTTTGAAATATATTTTATAGGTTGAAAAGAAGATAAGTGCTGTGGATGACCTTGATGACTTATCTCAGTCATCTGAAACACCCTCAGAGGCTAATGAGCTGCCTTACCCTAAGTATGAGAATATTTTGCTGCTATTTGAACAACTGAGAATGGAGTGCAAAGGTAGGACCAGTACGAAAATGCAAGGTGTTCCAATGGATATCATAGTAGTGTGTGTACCCATTGCTGAGCACTGTGCCATCCAGCATTGATGTGTTACAGTGCTATTTGTGCCAACGCATGCTTTGTATCAGCATATGATGAGAGGTACTACACACTGCAGACAGCCACAGGGCAGCGACATTCCCACTGCTCTTAGTGTGAGTGGCACTCCCAGGTTTTTGTTGACTCTGCTTCTCCCCTGTGCCTTGATCATATCAAGTCAGCAAACCATAAGCTTTGCCTGGAATACTCCAGTTAGATCTGTTTTCTTGCTAACCCCCCTCCTGAAACTAAGGTCTGCTCTGTATCCAAAAGTGTGTATTTCTAAAGATTTAGACCCAATCGTGTTAACCCCTTGCTGAAAAAGCTATCACTTCTCCTTGCTTAAATTTTGCTTGTCCATCTTCATCCTGCAGCACTGAGGCCTAGCCACTGATTTGATGTTTGTTCTTATGGTAGAACCCTTTGTTTTCAGGAGTTTAGAACGGTACTAAAATATGATGACCTGTGCATATGTAAAGTGTACGCTTTGCTAAGTCTTGACATATTATTAAACACATTTAATTGCCACACTCAGTAGCTAACAAGTCCATCACCTGCTGAAGCCTCCTAATGCTCCTTTGCTTTCCATTATTGATAAAGTACAAAATGGTTTTGCAGAGTATGCCACCTTCCATACTCTTCAGTGGTATATGAGAGTTCCTCCATATCTTCACAAACACATAGTATTGCCTGCGGGTGTGTCTGTGTCTGTGTATAGCCATTCTAATATGTGTGTTATACATATTAGTATTATTTTAATGGGCATCACCCTAAGGACAAATGTTTAGCATCTGTCTGTGCGCTTATTTTTGATTTGTGTATCATCTCTAGTGAACTATATTTTCAAATTTTTTCATCATTTCAAAAATTAGTTTATTTATTGAATTTTAAGAATATATTCTATATTGTAGATACCATTCTTCATTGGTTATATTTTTTGTAAGGACTTCTTTCCTCAGTTTGTGGCTTGACTTTTTATTCTCTTAATAGTTTGTTTTGTTTTTTTTTGAAAAGCAGTTTTGAATTTTAACAAAGTCCAATTTATGTGTTTCTTCAACTATAGATATTGCCTTTTATGTCATAACTAAGCAGTCTTTGTTTAGCATAAGATCACAGATTTTCTCCTTTGTTTTCTTTTAGAAATGTCATAGTTTTAGTCTTACATTTAGATCTGTGACTCATCTTGAGTTCAGTTTTGTATATCCAGTTGTTCCAGCTTCATGTGTTGAGAAGTGTTTGATCAGTTCATTTGCCCACACTGATTAGGGTGAAGGGGCAGTGCCAGTAAGATTTTTAGTTCAAGATTTTCTCCCATTCTCTAATCTCTCCCTTCACTTTGTTAGTTCCTTTGCCATGCAGAAACTTTTTAATTTGATATAGTACCGTTTAACAATACTTGCTATTATTTTCCTAGCTCCAATTCAGGAAGTCATTGCCTGTACCCATATCCTGCAGTATTTTCCTTGTTTTCTTCAGCATTTTCAAAGTTTCAGGTATTAAGTACATGTTTGGTTCATTTTTATACAGGAAATCTAGTTTCAGTCTTCTTCATGTGGATATTCAGCGTTCTGTGCACCATTTGTTAAAGAGCCTGTCGTTTCTCCAAGGTATTTTTGGCTTGTCAAGAATTAGGTGTAGGTCAAGGGCTTATTTCTGTGCCCCCTATTCTGTTCCATGGGTCTACATATCTAGTTTTATGCCAGTACCATCCTGGTTTTTTGTTTGTTTTTTTAACTATGGTTTTCTGGTATATTTTCAAATTATGATACCCCCATCTTTGATGTTGTTTGTTGTTGTTGTGGTGGTGGTTGTGGTTGTAGTTGTAGTGGTTGTTATTTGGTTGCTTATTGTGGTTATTATGGCTGTTTTATGTTTCCATATGGATTTTAGGATTTTTTTTTTCTAGTTCTTTGAAGAACATCATCGGTATTTTGATAGGTATTAAATCTGTAGAGTGCTTTTGGTAATACGGCCATTTAAAAAATATTATAACAACCCAGGATCATAGTAGGATCTTTCTATTTCTGTTGCCTTCCTTAGTTTATTTTGTGTCCTGTAATTTTTGTTGTAGAGGTGTTTCAAGGTACTTTTTGGGTACAATTATCCCTAGGTATTTTTTATAAGCTATTGTGAATGGACTTATTTTCCCGTTTGTTTCTCAGCAGCTTAGCACAGAAAAAAACTTGATTTTTATAGCTTTATTTTACGTTTTTCCATTTTGTTGCACTTACCAGAAAGTCTTCTGGTAGGGTCTTTATGGTTTTTTAAGTTAGAGGTCCCAAACCCACAGACCACAGAACAGCACTGTTCATAGCTTGTTAGGAATGGAGCCTCACAGCAGAAGATGAGCAGCAGGTGATCAGTGAGGCTTCATTTTATTTATAGCTGCTCCCAATCACCGGAGCTCCATCTGCTGTCAGATCAGTGTGACGTCAGATTCTCACTGAAATGTGAACACTGCTGTGAACTGTACGTGTGAGGCATCAAGATTGTATGGGAATTGCCTGATGATATGAGGTGAAACTGAAGCAGTGATGGTAGCACTGGGGAGCAGTTGCAACCAACTTCAATATCAGCAGAGAGGTTTGACTGCACAGAGTCCATACTTACTTGCTTGAAGATTATATCAGTGAGTGGCAAGTAATAAATTGCATCTAGTATTTGACTTTATAGCATCCTGTGAGTTTGTGTCCTTCAGTTGTACACCTTAATCTGGTGTACATGTTTTAAATCAAAATGCATCACTTACTTTAATCCACACATGGCTCATCCATTGTTTTATCACTTCTATCCACACATTTCCTGCACTGTCTCAGTCACAGTTTGCTATACCCACAAGCTAACCCTAGACAAAACAGATAAAAAGCAAATGTCACTAGAGAGCTGCTTTGCAAAAAGGGGAATAACCAATGATGAGACAGCAGAAGACTGATAGATTGCTAACAAAAAAAGTTGCACTTAAAAGAAAATACGGGGGCCAGAGAGATGGCTCAGTGGAATAAGTACTTCTCTGGCAAGTGCAAAGGCCTGAGTTCAATCCCCAGTTCCACCAAAAAAAAAAAAAAAAGAAAAGAAAAGAAAAGAAAAAGAAAATACCAAGAGTCTTACTTAAACTGTAGGCTGAGTACAGGTGTGTACCACCACATCCAGTTTTCGGGTCAGGCAGGGTAAGCCCAGGGTTCTGCGGCCAGCACAGGGGATGGCAGTACTGAGGATCAAACCCAGGTCTTTCCATTTGCCAGGCAGGTGCTTAGACTGCCACACTATCTCCCCAGCCCCAAAGAGGGCAGGTTATTACAGTCAGTGCTCACATTAAAAAAAAAAAAAAAAAAAAAAGTGAGCTGAAATAATATAAGATGACCTTTAAGACACTCAAAAAATAATAGTCCAAACCTCATTTAAAAAGGAACATTATAAAGTTCAGAGCAAAAACTAACAAAATTGACACCAAGATGATTTGGAATATCTGTAAAATAACTAGCATTGTATGGATGCAGGCAGGACCAAAGATGATTAAAGCTAGAAGCAGAAGTGAGTTGGTGTGGTGTCTTAGTGATTTATTTTAAAATGAAATGAAAGCTGGGGAGACGACCCAGGCCACGGGATCCTGAACAGACCCGGAGCGCAGGCCCGGCGAGTGAGTGAGACGACCCAGGCCGTGGGATCCTGAACAGACACAGAGCGCAGGCCCGGCGAGTGAGTGAGACGACCCAGGCCGTGGGATCCTGAACAGACACAGAGCGCAGGCCCGGCAAGTGAGTGAGACGACCTGGGCCGCGGGATCCTGAACAGACCCAGAGCGTAGGCCCAGGGAGTGAGTGAGATGACCCAGGCCGCGGGATCCTAAACAGACCTGGAGCGTAGGCAGGCGAGTGAGTGAGACGACCCACCTGGCAGGATCCTGAATAGACCCAGAGCGCAGGCCCGGGAGTGAATGAGACGACCCAGGCCGCGGGATCCTGGATAGACCCAGAGCGCAGGCCCAGCGAGTGAGTGAGACTTCCCGGGCCCAGGATCCTCTTTTGACCCAGGCTGCTGGCCCAGCAGGGAACCCTTCAGCAGAACTCCCTGCAAGGAGGCTAGAGGCAAGACCCACACAGCT